TGAGTAGCTTTGGGGTCAGTGACCTGAAGGGGGCCTAACAGGGACTTCTGGATGTTGGCAATGTTGTTTCTTAAGGTGAACGCTGGTTTACAGGTGTATTCATACTGTGAAAATTCACTTCAAATTATGTACCTTTCTGTATGTACATTGTATTTGAATGAAAAATGTAAAAATAACGTGAGAATGAAAAAAACAGCCGCTAACATTCAGAAGCTGGCTTGGCACTCATTACTAGGCTATGTTATTCTCCTATTAGATAGAAATAATCTCACAAATACCAACCTCAGACAAGGTCACTCTAAAACCATGATAAAATGAGACAAAGCAAAGCACTTCGTTAAGTATGTCTAAGCACAGACAAAAACAAGGTCACTTTGCCAAATACAAAATACCAACACCCTTTTTCTTAGCCAAAATGAGTGACTGCTGCTTCTTTACCAATTATAGCTTTATTCTCATGCTAGTTTCTTCTATGGATAAGATGGAGATGCCCAGTCATAGAATTGCCCCAGCTTTCTGTGTCCAATCTAGAACATAGTCCAGCTTCCTTAGACTTTCCTTCAAATCACCAATCAAAGCCCAAATGCCACAATAGGTTCTTTCTTAACGCCTTGTTACCAAGACAGCCCATGGTTCTCCAAGGTATGTGTTCCTCCTCATTGAAACCACTGAGAACTCCAACTTGATTAACTACAGGTGTGTTCCTGGGGGGTCTCTGGCTGAAGGGCATTGACTTGAGAACGTTTCATTTCTTGAAGATTTTATTAAAATCCCAAAACTATCAGCATCTGGTGACATTGAGAGGATAGATCTTTTACAATTAGTGTTTCCATTCAGGAATTTCTTGGAAAGACAGTATCATTGTCCCTTGAACAACATAGGCTGGAATTATTTGGGTCCACTTAGATGTGGATTTTTTTCGATAAATATATTGGAAAATTTTTTGGAGACTTGTGACAATTTGAAAAAATTCACAAACCACATGGCCTAGAAATATTAAAAAAATTAAGAAAATGTTAGGCATGTCATGAACACAAAATATATGTAGAAAAAAGTAGCCTATTTTATCGTATACTACCATAAAGTATATACAAATTTATTATAAAGTTAAAATTTATCAAAACTTACACAAACACAGACCATACATTTGGCCATTTGCAGTTGAGAAAATGTAAACAAACGTAAAGATGCAATATTAACTCATAACTGCATAAAATTAACTGTAGTACATATTGTACTTATGTAGTAATTTCGTAGTCACCTCCTGTTGCTATTGTGGTGAACTCGGGTCTTGCGAGTACCGGCTTAAAACGACTGTGACCCTGATTGTCTCCACATCAGCAGTTCATCTGTTTGGTAAATTCGCACTAAAAAGTGATCTCTCAAGTTTCTCACATATTTTTTGTGTTTAGTGCAATACCATAAACCTTGAATAACACCACGGGACCCATACCGTGCCACCAGTGATGCTGGATGTGCTCCCAAGAAACAGAGAAAAGTCATGACATTCATTATATGAAGTTTCTCAATTTTGTACATTGAGTACATATCAGGAAAACATTGAATTGCTTGATATGTACCATAGATGGAGGTCTGCAGCGGCTGTTGCCTGCCGTTTCAGACAGTTTGTCTTGTGAACAGACATCGTAAACATACAGTATCGATAAATGCAGTACAATACTGTAACTGTATTTGCTCTCCCTTATGATTTTCTTAATAACATTTTCTCTTCTCTATTGTAAAAAGACAGTATATAATACATATCATGTATGAAATATGTGTTTATTGTCTATTTCTGTTATTGGTAAGGCTTGCAGTCAAAAGTAGGCTATTAGTAGTTAAGTCAAAAGGTATATGCAAATTTTCAACTGCTTGGGGATTGGCACCTTTAACCTCCAAGTTGTTCAATGCTCAACTCTACATGTTTTTCCAAATCCCAAGAAAAATCAGCCAAGAAATCAGGAAGTCAGAAGAAAGTATTGTAATTCTTCTGCTAGAATTAAAGCTGAACAATCAACATGGAAAGAATACTGATTCAAACAAATCACCTGACAAATGGCAAGCAATGGCAGGAAAGGGTATCACGAGGGGTCTAAAGTGGACCAGAGAAAGGAGCAGGCAGGAGAGAAGTGGGCGAGATCCAATCATTCTGACCTGTGACGGTTGCCATGTTGCACATGGTGTGCACGGCCCCATCTTCTGCTAACAGTGAATCATTCTTTCAAATGAAATAAATATTGATGAGGTAATATGAATAATAAACTTCTACGAGTGATGTTCTAAGAACTAAGTTTTAGAAGCAAAGTAAATCCTGAAACTGGCAACTTCTTTACGTGATTCTGAATAGTGCTGTTACCCTTGCTAGGAGATCTGAATGTTATGTTATTAGAATACTACTCAACAATGTTTGTTGGAATTTTCCAGTGTTTATATTCAC